GTTCTTTCAAACCTCTCCTTCAGTTTTACAAAACACTTTGTACGAGGATATCTTTGTAAATCTGGATTATTAGTTTGGTAAATACGACTTGCCAATAAACAGTTACCATGAGTTTTACTAATTATTCTATTATTTATTTACTAATTCTTCTTTAGAGTAATTAATTTCACAATTATTACTGTCGCTTTTCTATTAAACCTTATGTGAATCGAAAATTTTCCAGATTATCCTTTGACAGGAGCCTACTACGTTATTTTACATATAAGCTATTTGTAAACTTCGCATATTTTCATAAAAATGAGATTTCATGAAAAACTAATGGATTTTGGTATGGGAGCAGGTATAGCAAAGTTGTAGAGAATTAAATTCTCCATCTCTTGGTATGAAAATATACAGGGTGTTGCATTTAAAAAATTCGAGATTTTTCAATTGTCAATTTTGACATATTTTGGTCACCCTGTATAACGCAGGCCAGTTTTTGGAGCATGATTCTGAAGAGTCTTCTTTACTAAACATCTGATAAAAAAATGGGCTTAGTAGCTATTAGTATAACCTGTCAGTATCAGAAAATGTAAGCAGCCAATATCGACTAGAAAAACTTTTCAAGCGAGATATCTCTAAAACTGTGAATATTTAAATAGAACTATTCTACACAAAGTACCCTTTATTTTTGATGTAGAATCCGAAAAAAATATAAAAAATATGTGTTTCCATTTAAAAAACCAAAGTTGGCGTCTGTCCAGGAAAAGTGGAACACCCTGTATAGTTGAATATATTTTTAATTTGTACATTCCGAGAAATGTGACAACACAGTAAAAAGAAAAATCCATATATTCCTCATTTTAACATAGATATTGGACTTTCCCGCACTAGTGGGACACGCTGTATAAATAAAAATTGTTAATATTAAGATAAAAAAACTGTAAATTTATTAAAAATACAATACACACAAACTGTTTTTTTCAGGGCAACATGATGTGCAAAATCCGACTAGACAACCGTGGTGCACATAGGGTTATTCTAATGTCAGAATTGTCGGTATTCTTTATTTATGAGAGCATTTCACAGATAGAAATCAATGTATGCTACCTATTATTAAACAAGCTTTATTATATGTCAAAAATGTTACATTTGCTATATACAGAGTAACGTGTACAACGGAAAACCACAGATTCCTGGATTCAAAATAGAAACCTATATCCGCAATCGCTTAGTTTGGCCGCTAGATTCCCTCAAAGTTGGTGAAAATTTTTTGAATTTTGTAAAAACTAGAATACCTATTAATAGATTTTGATTATTTTTGGGGTGTGGACTTTTGCTTTCAATCTACACAGTGTTTTTTTTTAACTTACAACTCCTACAAAAATGATGTATGGTGATAATATCCGTCCATAACTTTTTCTCTTTCAGGCAATAATGACAACTATTTTTTATCTGATAGGTGGTACCATTTGGAATTTTTTGGGCCTCTTGTAGAATTGGGTAGAAAAAAAATATTTTTTAAATGTCTACATTATCATGCCACCCATATTACACTTAACAAAGTGCCAGTAGGCAGTAATTTTGTAGGTTGACTGCAATTTCAGTCTGATCTTTAAATCATTGTGCCTGACAATTCTTAATGAGTGTTTACAACGATAAAATATATCATCTGTTACTTCATTTTTCGATATGGATACACACACGACGAATTAGAGTTATTTACAATGTGCCTAATTTTATTCAAATAATTAGAAAAAACAATCAAATACAACGCATTGATAGCATTATTATTGACCCTATTATTCTACCCAATAGACTGAATGGGGAATTTTATTTAGAATTTTTGCAAAACACTTTACCCGAGTTATTCGAAGGTGTGTCGTTTAATCAGAGTTAACTGTGGTTTATGCATGGTGGAGCTCCACCACATTTCTCTGTAACTGCCCGGCAGTATCTAAACCAAAGATTCCCTCGTCGATGGATCGGCAGAAGGGATAACCAGCCTGTACGTTCACCAGACTTAACACCTTGCGACTATTATCTATGGGGCACTTAGAAAACAACATTGTATGCTTCCACATCTAACACTGAAGAAGACTTGTGGAGGCATATCCTAATGGTCATAAATGTTTTAAAAAATTGCCCTCAAGAACTGCAAAGGGTGTCCTTTAATTTTGTTCACTGAATTAACCTTTGTTGTAGAACAACGGACATTTTGAACAGTCTTTATAATAAGTTGTACTAAATTTAATAACTTCAACTTTATTACTTTTATTTATTTTTACGAATTATATCAATAAAATTAGGCATGTTGTAAATAACACTAATTCGTCGTATATGTATGTGTGTATCCATATCGAAAAATGAAGTAACATGGTATATCTTATCGTAGTAAATACTCATTAAGTACTGGCAGGTATAATGACTTAAAGATCAAACTTAAATTACAGTCAATCTACAAAATCAGTGCCTATTAGCACTTTGTTAAGTATTCTAATATGGGCGGCAAAATAATGTAGACATTTAAAAAATATTTTTTTGTACCTAAACTGGTCATTTAATAAAAATTCTACAAGAATCCCAAAAACTTCCAAATGGTATCACCTATCAAATTAAAAATAGTCGTCATTATTGAACGAAAAAGAAAAAAGTTATGAACAGATGTTATCACCACACATCAATTCTGTAGGAGTTGTAAGTTTTAAAAAATATTCTGTATAACACCAAAATGTGTAGATCGAAAGCAAAGGTTCACACCCCAAAAATAATCAAAATGGATACGAATTCGAGTCATTTACAAAATTCAAAAAATTTTCACCAACTTTGAGGCCATCTAAAGGTCAAACAAAACGATTTCGAATATAGATGAATTAGCCGAACTCTACCTATTTTGAGTCTCCGAATCGGTGGTCTTCCGTTGTAGTTATTTTGAGACACCCTGTATATGTTAAAAAAAATTGTATCTGAGAGTGAATCAATTTTTCACTGTTTTGACCCATTTGTGGGCCCTACCGCCTCCAGATGGGCATTTGGAGCTTCGTGGCCGTGAAGGCTTTTGATCAGTGATAAAAAAAGGACAACATATTTTTCAGGAATTTTACTGAAAGACTAATTTCCATAAGGTGTGTGCGGTGTTGCTATATAATATATTACGAACAAAGACTTTTAGCGGCAAGATGAAATGGTTGGTGGAGCTTCAAAGTACTTTTACAATGGCTTCTAAAACTGATGCTAGAACACTTACTATATTAATACTTGTAGTAATTAATACCTAAAAATAAATGGAATGTATTAGAATAAATATCAATGAACACTAATAATATTTACCGATAATAGTTAGGTTTGAAAGGTCCAGCTTTGTTCAAACCCATATACTTAGCTTGCTCATCAGTTAATTCTGTTAGGTGGGCATCAAATGTTGGAAGATGTAAACTTGCAACGTATTCATCTGAAAGTATTGATAAATGTAAATAAAGGTGAATATAGAAGTTTGTTTATTTAGTACAGAAACTTTTTTATAACAAACTTTACCGGCATTGTGAGGGCCACACAGAGCTCTATTTATTCACTATGCTCACTATGCATATTAAAAATGCGTTGATAAATACAGAGAGATCCAGAATTATTGAAGTGTTTGTTTGGAGATCGCAGCATATGCCTGTCTCTGTCAATACTACAGATTGTTATATGTTAAAAATGGTGTTAGAAACAGGCTGCGTTCCGCAAACGCTTCAATCATTCTGGATCTCTCGGTACAAAGCAGATTTGCTACTGATATCGAGCATTGTCTTATATACAATACTTTTAATTCAGTATGTATAATATATACAAAGGAATTTATTAAAAAATATTATACCGACAGTGGAGAATTTATACAGGAGATAAAGGAACATTCACATCTGTAGAATAAAACTTTGAATGAGGGAGAAAATGTCTAAGGAATTATAAAAGAAATAGATAAATTATATTAAATTTAATATATACAGCAAACATATGCATAGTCAATTTAGTTAATACAACATTATATCATGAACCTAGCTCACATATCACACTTATTCTTTCTGGCTGCAGACATTTAAACAATGATGGCTATTTTTAATATGCATAGTAAATATTAAATATATATGTTTCATGTGAATGTAGCGTATCTAACATAAATTATGACAATAAATATGTTTTTTTCTCAATTATATTAACATATATACTTTCCGTTTCACTGACCGCAACAATATCATAATTGTATTTGTTTACAAGACTTAAATTCTGTAAAATTACACAAGAGGATTATACATTAATATATGCAAAACAAATGTTTTTTTTTTTTCTTTAATACTAATTTTAAAAATCGTATTAAATGTAATATATGTGTAGTATACAGCGTGGTAAAAAAGTTCTGCATAAAATTCATATTTTCGTTAAATAATTTTTTTTTCGAAAAACGGTGAGACCCGTCGATTTTTATTTGATCCAGGGCACCTTGTTATGTGGAATTTTTTTTTTCGATAATCCACCTACGGCAGCGATGACATAATTTTTTTTTAAATGACAACGCATATTTTTTTCGTTCGAAATTGATGACAGTGATAATTATCTAAACAACGGTGTGAAAATTTCGATGTCTTACATAACAATTTTTTTTAGAAAAATGCACCTTAAGTTCTTATAAGTGATAATTGTCTACTTACACTATTAATGGCTCCGA